GTCTCACCAAGTTACCCTGGCTGGTCTCGAACCCCCGGGCTCAGGCAATCCACTCGCCTCAGCCTCCCAAAATGCTGGGATTGCAGGCTGAGCCACCGAGTCTGGCCAAAGTGATGGCTTTATCTTTGGAATATCCATCCAAGCCTGTGTTGAAAACAGGTGGACTCTGTTGCTCGCATCACCTTTATGGCAACTAAGTTTAATTTTATCCTTATCTGTGATAGGGAAGAATTCTGCCTTATCCCCTTCCTGCCCACACAACATGGCTTTCTGGGGGACAACTCGGGATAGACGTCGCCCTACCTGTCCATCTTCTCCAGGACCTCCGCGATGTTGGTCAGGGGCTTCCGCAAGTGGCGACGCAGGTTGTGCTGCAGCAGGGGTAGGCAGACGTTCCACTGCGTGGCGCACACCACGTGGAGGACGCGGGGGTCGCCCAGGCGCAGGGCTCGCTGCAGGGTGACGTCAAGTCTGTTTATGACGTTCAGCTGGCTCTGCAGAGAGACCGTCGAGCACGTCTGCAAAGGGAGTTCAGTGAGTGCCAGGGACCAGGTCGGTCACCCCATGGCCTGCGAGAGGCAGGGCTGGCACTCCCCGGGACTCACCTTCAGCCTGGAAAGCTCGAAGTGGCAGGGGGAGGGTGGCACGGGGGGCGGGGGCACACTGAGAACTCGGGACTTAAATCTGTCACGCTGTGTCAGACTGTGGGCCCGGGTCTGTCTGTGAAAATGTCCCTGTGATGGGCGTGATGGCTCACACCTATAATCCCAGCACTTTGGGAGGCTAAGGTGAGAGGACGGCCTGAGCCCATGGGTTCAAGACTAGCTGGGCAACTTGGTGAGACCTCGTTGCTACAAGAAATCAAAAAATTAGCTGGGCGTGGTGGCGCATGCCTGTAGTTCCAGCTACTTGGAAGGCGGAGGCGGAAGGATCACCTGAGCCCACCAGGTTGAGGCTGCAGTGGCCATGAGTGTGCCACTGCACTCTAGCCTGGGTGACAGAGTG